AATAAACCGGATAAATTCGGTATCAATTTTGGATGTTATCGATGTAGACTCGAAGTTATTGCAATGCTTTCCACATCTTGGAAAACTCGAGAACTGAAACTGAAAGTCTCCTGAAAATGTAGTAATGCGTCTTCTAACCATTATCGAATTCAGTCGAAATTTGACAACGGACAATTATTTTTCCTCACTATCATTAGCTAAAACTTAAAATGAAACATAGTTTTTTTGGCACAGTAAGAACATCGACAAGAATTCCGCATGAAGTAAGAAATCAACCTGTCTATCAGGAAAAAAGGAATAAATGTCCTACTCTAGTACCTACATCCAAAGTGTAAATATAGACGCACAAAAAAAAGCTTCCAGAAACAGTAGAGTTTTACAACAAAACCAAATGTGGAGTTGATATCCTTGGCCAGATGACGCGTAAATATTCTGTTCGCGCTGCTTCACGTAGATGGCCTGTCCCTGTTTTCGATAATATGTTGGATTTAGCAGGAATGAATGCCTACGTTATCTACTATAAAAAATATTACGAGGCACAGCTTCCTATTTCAAGTAGCAGAGAAGTTAAGAGAGCTTCATTTAAACAGAAGAAAAAGCCCACGATTGCCCCAGGAAACTTCCAACTCTAGCAATACTCTCGAAGAAAAGACGTCAGTACCAGATTGAACTTTGTAACAACAACAAAACAAGTGATATGTGTAAAAAATTTTCATATTATGTGTGTGTGGAAAATGCACTTCCAGTGTTGAAAAAGTTGTATTGTGTAAAAATTGCGAAAAGCTATAAAATGCATTTTATTAACGGTAAGTTGAAATTTATAATAAAATATTTATTTATTAAAAATAATCGTTATTCTTTAACTTCTTCAGCAACTGTAATTAATATTCTTAAAAGCATTATAAAGCATTTACATTTGAATATATACATTGATTCGTTGAGCAGTCAATTTGACTGCCGTTGGCGCTTCTAGTGTTAAAAATACGACTTTTCTTTTGTTTTCTTGTTTTCTGCGTTATCAAAGAAACACAATAACAGACTACATATTAAACTTACAAAGCGAATTCATAAATAAAATTTTCTGCTGTTAATTACCATGTAAAATTTCCCACATATTTTAAAGAAACTGTGAGGTATATAGATGAAAATTTAATTGGCTTTTATAAATTATTTTAACTGCAATAGAACTTATACTAAAAGTCCTACTTCAGTTTTCTTGCTTGCCATGTAATCCTTTTTTTCTTTAAAGAAGATACCGCAGATCGTTTAATGGGATAGCAATACAACTAAAGATATTACTTTTAATAGTCATTTAAATTTCTTCCGTTAATAGGCTAACATTTGGCGGTCTCCACTGATGAAATGAAATTTCACTAATTAATTTACGATAAAGAACAATAATCAAAATTTGAACAAAAAGTATAATTCTCTATTTACATTTAGGGCCATAGTTATTTAACCATTTCTCTGTCAGTTTTGAATTTAGATTATTTCGAAGTGATCTGGGATCTGATTTATTCTACATAATATCATTGACATGAATCTGCAAGGAGAAGCTTAATCCGTTCAACAATTTAGAAGAGATACGGAATAAATATATTCTGATTATACTTTTAAATATAGTGTCTATTAGAAGGAATGGTAGGATTTCGTAGGGTCTCTGTTAAATATGGGCTGTGTAAAATGGATTGAAATGGATTGCATTTTATTTAATTCAGCCACCCAAAAATATCATGAACAAATCTATGAGTATTATTAATAACATAGCAGATTTCATAGTTATATTCAGTTTCACGTCATGCTATGTATTGCGTCACAAGCAGTGATGTCATGAGATTTTGCTCATATATGGTTCTAAAGAAGTACAGAGAAAGTTTACGGGCAGATCATGCAGTGAGGAAGAAGATTGAAAGAGATGCCACCAAGAAACGGCAGTGGAATATTGGAATGAACTGAACATCTCCTAGTAGGAGGATTTGTAATGAAGAATGTAAACTCGAGAAAGAGATTTCATGTAACCTGTAGCATATTAGCAACAATAAAAGGATTATAGTTCCATGTCATGTATAAACTTGATTTTTCTAACCGTCACATACAACGAAACAACGTGAAGTTGGTTCGTCGAGCCTTAGCCATTTGTGTGAGCAAGTAGTTCCTGTAAAGTGGTGGCCAGCTGGTGAATCTGCAGTGGTACGTTGTGTTTTCAGCTATCTTAAACATCAATCGGGAATATTTGCTAAAACGAAAGAGAATATCAAAAATCACACATGAGAAAATGTAGAGACAAATTTAGCATTGAAAATGTGGAGTTAACTGGGTATGAATTACTTTTAGAAAAGTAAAATGCATTTAGCAGTGAACTGAAAGAAATATTTGATCATTCGGTACATACTGTGTGAGAAAAACGATATTGAAACGTACGTTGAGGAACAGTTTAGCATTCAAAAATATTTAGATTAAGTAATCTTAAAATTAAATAGAAATTTCAAGGCACCAAAGTTGAATTTGAAGTCGGCGATAAAAGTTGGAGGAACGTCTTCAGAAAGTGCTAAACTCCCGAAGTTAAACTTTCCAGCATTTAGGGGAAATTTCCAGGAGTGGATAACTTTAAATGATATGCATAATGCGTGAGTGCATAGTTATCCCAAGCAGATAAATGCTCAAAAGTTACAATACTTAAAATCTTTACTAAAAGTTGATGCATAGCGATTAGCAAACAACAATTATGTCATAACGCGACAATTATTGATGGATCATTATTCGAATAAGCATGAGTTTTATATTTTGCGCAGATTAAAAGATTATTTTCATTAACTTCAATTCAAAGTGAATCAGTTTCAACAATTCTGAGCTTAGTGGATACAGCGAATGAAACTGTTTTTGGTTTGAAGAGGCTGTAAGAGAAAATAGCGAGCATTGGTGATACGGTATTGGTTTATGTTGTTTTGTAAAAATAAGATTCCTCAACTTAATTCTGGCAGCAAAGACAGTCTAAAAATAAGAGGAAATCCCAAAATTAAGAGAACTGATTGAATTTTTAAAATATTGTACAAGGACATTACAAAATACTAGAGAATCTACAGGAATGGATTATAAGAATAATAAAGTAAATAATTTTATTGCAAACGTAAATGTACTTACTTTCAAGAAGATCACAATTTACTAAAGTACGTGAAACTCTTTCAGTTAGACATGCAGAAGAAAATTGAATATGTAAAAAGTAATAATTTATGTTTCAATTGTCTTTCAAACACGCATAAGATTAAAAATTGTAAACGTGTACATAAATATAAGCAAAATGGGAAACCTCGTCACAGTTTACTACATAAAGACAGGTTAGACATAAAGACCAGAATACAAATCTTAGGAATACTTAACAGCCGTCCTATTTTCCCTTTGTCATCAAATTCAAATGTTCTCGAAGTGTTAGCACCTGCACATTTTTTTATAGGTAGACTTCTCAGACAAAGATTTTAGTAATTTGCCAGATAGACTTTTCAATTTGGCAACTAGTAATAGAATTGAATCAATTCAATTGGAAAAAGTGGTCCCATATTTTCTTAAAAATTTTTAATACAGAAGAAAGTGGATGTTAAGGAAGAATTATGGGAAAATACGGTCTTTAGTTATCCATTAAGGAAGATAATATGCCTATTTGCATCTAGTTTGGTAGACGTTTTTCCAGGAAATGACAACGAGTAGTAAATGTGAAGACAAAACATAGCATATTTAAAAAAGGTGCTTCAAAGATTTGCATTTTTCCAATTGAGAATAATGTTGGAACATGTCAGTTATAACTCTTAAACCCTTATGCTTAGATGGAACTGTAAACTATGCTATGTTTTATTGTTTAACTAATTGAATTCCTTTTCGTGTTATTCAACCTAGTAGATTCAAGCCGTGTGGAGTATGTTGCGTCAAAAGCAGCGACGTCACGAGATTTTTCACATTTGTATGGTTTCAAAGCAGCAAGGAGAAGGTTACGGGCAGAGTTTTGCAGTGAAAGAGGAACGGATAAGAATCATGCCAGTTTGGAACGTTGGATTGAACTATTAAATATCTCATGGTGGGAGGGGGCTGTAATGAGGAATATAAAGCTGAGGAAGAGATCCCGTGCAGAATGGAATATACTAGAAACAATAAGAAGATTATAGTTCATCTCCATGGGATGTATAAATTTAATTTTTTGAACCAGCACATACAACAAAACAGTATTAAGAAAGAGCATCTGGTGTAACGTTTACAGTTGTTTATATAATTCTCTCCCTGAAGTGATCAAGATTATCAATTATTTTACTGTAATTTAATTCTCCAGAGTAAGATGTCTGATGGAATATAGCATATTATTATTTCTTAGAATATAGCATATTAGCATTTCTTGCAAGACATGGTCGATTTTTGAAATCCATCATCCTAGTAGTCAGTGATTCATCTCATCTCATACTTTATTCTTAAAATGGGCTTCCTCTTGTTGAAAGAAAAGCTGCATCTTTTAGATTCTTCCCTTTTATTTAATTCAAAAGGAAAGATTATCTGTAGCATATCCAAATACACACAGACATTTAGCATCCTTTGGGGCTGGTATGAGTAATAAAGTAAATGCTCTTTTTGGGTGACTGAATCAAATAAAAGCACTTTCAGTGCATTTCACCTAACATATATTTCATAGAGATCTTACAAGAAAAGATCATTCACTTTAGACCAGTACAATTACAGAATTTAAGTTGTATACGTAAATATATTATTAAATATCCGTGGAATATAAAATTTTTATAGATATTTTATATTTTAATAAATAATTTAAAATTTTAATTTTTAATAACATATATAAAATATATTATTGAATATATTAAATTATAAATTTTCTTGGATGAACAACTTAAGTAACGTGTCTGCGATAGGTGTTTATGTTTTGTTGCGCAATTCTTGGCTAATGAAGAGAGTCTAGTTTTTTTTTTTTTTTTTTTTTTTTAACTTTCATTACTATTTTTTTTTCTCAGAGAATTCTTGGGACAAGCATGGATGAAGCCAGAAAAAGCAACCAAAGCTCCCAACATTCTTCTGATGACACGACGCTTTAATGACGTAAGTGGGCCAAACTAATATTTTTTTTTCGTTCGAATTTCAACAGTAAATGTGTATGGTAAATGTGTAAACCTAATTAGCTATTTATTTGAATTAATTTGCATTCTGTTTAACCTTTTCTTGCTAGGACAAAATTTCTAATTTCGCACCAAAACAGAAATTTAACAAAACTTCGGTAAAAGAGGCAAGATTAAAACTTCATTAAAAGGTCTATTTAAAGCTATATCTTATAGCACAATTAAAAATTTACAAAAATTATTCACCGCACATGTGGGGCTTCCGTGATTCAAATAATAATCAACTTGTTCGGTTATTATTATTTTAACTAACCATTTATCATGATTTAGAACTTTATTGTAACTTCTTCACCAGAAATCTAAGTGAAAGAGAGTATTTAAGTTGAGAATTTTATCTGTAAGACAGAGCGTGTTTCTGCCTCAAGTCTTTGTTGTTAACTTGAGAAACAGTGATAATTCGCTCTAAGTCTATTAGGAGTTCGATGCAAGTTTAATGCTACGAAAGAAAGTCAAACTCTATAGGTATAAACAAAATTTTTGTGAATTGCAAATGAAATATCACCGAATAACGTGAAAACATTTTTCGAAAATAAATACGTTTGATTTAAATGTATTCTAATTCCGAATTTTAAAACCGAAATGCATCCATGTTGGTTTTGACAACAAAACCAATCGCAAATGATCGACACAACAATAATTAAAAACCGTAATCGATTTTAAAAATGGTTATTTTTTGTTACGATTAATAATTACAAAATGCAACTGACAAAGAATAATTTATGACATTTGCTGCAAACGTATTTTGTTGTAATGTTATTTAGGAAACTAACTATGCTATTTATATGTGTTATACAAAAATATATAATAGTAAACTTCATTGTTTTGCATTTTCTTATATAGTGTTAAATATCAAAAGTCACTTTGCAAGTTTATTAAAATATTATTGTTTATAAAAAGCGGCTTCAGACAAAAAGTATAGAATGTAACCTCTTAAATATGCGGCTCTTAACAGTGAATGAATCATTGCGAACTGAGCTTATAACGTATTTCTCCCGCCTTCTTGGCTTGCCTTCGTGGTGTAATGGTCTGCACCCTGGACGCGTATTTCAGAGGTCCGTGGTTCGGTTATTATTATTTTAATTAACTATTTATCATGATTCCAGGCAAAGGCGTTTACTCATTTTTCATCTCTCCTGCTTCAGAAATAAACCTAATGACTCTACAGTGGCGCCCGAACTAAAAGGGTGTTGAATGATGATTCTCCTCACCCAGGATTTGGCGATTGAGTCCCCTAAAAACCCCCCTATAAAAGGGGAAGTATATAAGGTATTTCTCTCGCCTTCTTGGCGAGCCTTCGTGGCGTAGTGGTCCGCACGCTGGCGCGTATTCCAGACGTTCGTGGTTCGATTCCCGGCGAAGGCGTTTGCTCATTTTTAATCTCTTCTGCTTCTGAAATAAACCTAATGACTCTACAAGCTTTACCATAATTTCTACTATTTGCCAAATGATTTATTATTTAGTATATAGCTTTTGAAAGTCTGTAAGATATTTCACTTCCTATTTTCCGCACAGTATATAGTTAGCATAATATTACTATGCTATATATCCTTTAGAAGAGCCTACAGAAGAGTTAGCCCTTCATCGGCCGAGCGTTAAAATCGCTGAACACCGGTAGTTTTGACCCCTGTTCAATTCCAATCTAATGGGCTGGCTGCATGGGCCTTGTTTTCATGTTTTTCCCCTTGAATTGCGTAAATAATTGTCCGAGGTGAAAAATTTTTATATCATTTTAAAGCCCTAAAAAAGATACATAAGAGGATGTAATCTTTAGGAATGTATCGCCAAGGACTGAAAAGATATTGTCATTCAAAGTTATCAAGTTCGTAAGTTATTAAAATTTAACAATACTCAATGTTAAACTAATATTACAACGACTGGAGCCAGATCTTTTAAATAGCCTTTATCTCTGTGAAACTCAACATATTGTATCAAGAATTACAGTACCAGATAGAGCAAAATTTTCTCTTTCAGAATATATAATTTTTATATAAATTTATGTGATATTTTTTCTAAATATATTGACTAAAATATTGAATTTTCACTAATATTTATTTTTAAAATTTATAGAAAACCATTGTTGACATATCAGTTTTAATATAGGTCATGCAATAATTCCTTTATAAGATTTGTATTACATATATTGAAAAACTGTTTATTAAAATATTTCACGTTATCTTTCTTATAATAATTTAACATAACAAGGATATAGACAACTCAACTTTTCTCATGTAATTTAATGTAACATAAACATTAAAAATAAATATTAATTTAACATCTTTAATCCTTATATATATTTTGTTTTACAACTGAACTCATAAAGTATTTAAAATAAAATAAATAAGATTTACACTGATTTACTGCTTACAACCCTATAATGCATAACTCTAGATCTTCAAGTTTAACATCACTTGATACCTATCATTCCACTGATCCAACGGCTGTTCTTCAGCGTTTTAAACTTTCAAGGATTTGCAATACTAATGCTAATTCACAAAGCACAATTAATGATATTGATAATATGGATCAAAAAATTCAAAACGCTTATGAGGAATGCATTTCATTACTACAAACTCGAATATCTGGCAAAAGAGGTCTAAGAGAATTTATATCTAAAAGTCAAATCTTTGATTGATTTTATAAAAGATTCAAAACTTGCTGCAAAAAACATGCATTCATCTTCACTCTCATGTGAAGATAATGAAATAAAAAGTTCTAATGATATTAGTCATCATATCAATTCTAAGAGATATATGGATTCAGCAACTTCACCTATTAGCTGTCATACAAGAAAATTCTATGATGACGCAGCTCTCTCACCAATCAGTTCTAACTATGAATACGAAACCAATTTACAAAATATATCTTCACACAAGCAAAGGATTTCAACATCAAATCAAAGTCCTTCTCTGCAACAAAATTATATCCAGGATGCAAACAATAATCCACCCATAGGTTACAACGACATGCAGATTTTACCACCAAATGAAGAAAGTTTTATTTATCATCAAAATATCAATAACGCATTTATATCTCCTATATCTCATGACCAAATACAAAAGGAAAGATCCAGATCTTATGCAGAAGTAACCAAAATTAATAAAAATCCAACTAAAAGACAGACTCCAACACTTCTTATTATCCCAAAGGCACAAATGACGAATCGTGAATTGCAAGATAATTTAGAAAAATACAATCCAGTTTCCAAAATGGGTGTAAAAATTCAAAAGATTTCACTTATCCGAAAAGGTGGTATTGCGGTTTCATGCAATACCAAAGAAGAAATACTCAAGATTAATTCCATATTGGAAAGCAATAAAAATATCAATAATTTAGTTTTTCTTTCAAAATACCTTCCAAAAGAAACCTAAATGCACAATAAACAATCTACCTAACAATACTGGTCCAGAAGATGTCACTGAAATAATTAAACAAGCAACTAATTTGGATGAAAATGAATTCATACCCTCTTTTAAAATAAATGACAAAAGAAACAATGGAATAAAATGGGTAATTGAATGCTCTCCTCTAGCTTTCAAAATACTAATGAAACAAAATATTATAAACTACGGCTGGAGAAGTCACAAAATCGCAGAATTTTTTGGATTACGTCGATGTTTCATATGTCAAGACTTTTCACACTCAGTCAGAAATTGCAAACATAGAAACTATTGTGCATTCTGTGGCGGCAATCACAATATCAAAGAATGCCAAGCAGAAAGTCCCTTATGTATAAACTGCAAATTACATAACGATGCTAATAATACGGATCCTTAATACATATCACCCTGCTTATGCACCAAACTGCCCAATATATCAAAAAGAAGTGACCAAAGTAATTACAAGAACCGAATATGACATCTTAGATTAGTTTCATCCTTACCACTTAACAAGTTAATACCACTTCTTCACTTTAATTCACCAAAACAATATAATTAATATGTCACCAATACTAATTAAAAATAAAGAATTTTCGACTCTCAAAATACAACAAATTAACCTTCAAAGAGCCCACTCTTCTATGACAAACCTGGTCCAAATTTCAACCGAGCTCAATCCAGACATAATCCTCATACAAGAACCTTACTGTGTCAATGGAAAAGTTAGCGGAATACCAAACTGTTGGAATTGTATTCAATATGAATCTTCAGATAAATCTTCAGTCAGATCAGCTATCATCATCAATAACAAATACTTATCTCCAATAATAATCTTTACAAGTAAAGATATAGTTTCCATATTATTAAATAATAAAGAAAATCAACTTATCATCACCTCCTTCTATGCATCGCCATTAGAAAATTTAGAAAATAATATTACAAGCCTTTCTTCAATAATAAGGAAACATTCAAAATATCAACACGTAATAGGAGGCGACTTTAATGCCCACCATACAATATGGGGATATAATAATATTGATACAAGAGGTGAGCATGTCGAAGATTTTATAGCAGAACATAATTTAATTCTTCATAATAATGATAACAGCCTACCTACGTATGAAACAATACATGGACGTGGATGGCCTGACTTAACTATAACCTCATATCAAATCGCTAACAAAATTTTATCATGGGAAGTTTTAGATACCATATCGCTATCTGACCATAAAATAATCTCATTCAGAATAGATCTTAATTTTGAAATAACCTTAGCTCATCGATTTAAAATTAATCCAAGATCTATTAAAACTTTTATTCAGCTCATGAAACAAGATCTCTTCAAGATCCATCGGGAAATCAATAATTCATCTGATAAAATCACACTCAATAAATCAATGGAAAACCTTACAATATTCATACAGCACTGCTGCAAACAATCATTTATAACCCAAGAACCAAATAATAAACTTAACTTAAACTGGTGGACTAAAGAATTAAGGATACAGAGAAACAAAACAAGAGCATTCTATAGGAAAATGAAAAAAGCCTCCCTTCAAGAACTGAAAGATAAATTTTACATTATATACTCACAACAAAAAGCAATGTATAAAAAATGATACTATCAGCTAAAAATAAATGCTGGAGAGATTATTGTACCAAAAACACAGAAAGATATGGAAATATTTACAAGATCTGTATGAACAAAGTTTTTAAACCAACCCAAATCTCCATTACTTCAAACCTCAATCAATCTCAACATCAAGATCAAGATGCAACTTTAATAACTCTTTCTAATATCATGGAACAAGTTTTTCTACAAGACTCCTCTCAAGAAGATACTCCTGAACAATCGTACATCAGAAATAATAATACAGCTCCAGATACAATGGATGACTTTCCATTTACATTAAAGGAAATCTCTAATATAATAAAAAATTTAGCAAGAAATAAGGCACCAGGACCAGATGGAATACCTAACCAAATAGTCCAACTTATTCATTCTATTGATCGAACTATTTTCTTAGATCTCAGTAATAAGTGCCTACAATTAAGCACATTTCCTACTCATTTCAAAACTGGTCAAGTCATTTTTTGTTTAGCAAACCAAGCGCAGATGCAAATACTCTAAAGTCATACAGACCAATCAACTTATTACCGGCAATAGGAAAAGTCTTAGAAAGAATAATAGCAAATCGCCTACGACATCATCTAACAAAAATAGAATTTATCAGCAATAATCAATTTGGATTCATCCCGAATAAATCGACAACGAATGCCATAGATTCAGCTTTAAACCAAATTCATATCAATAACTCCAATAATCTGCATTCTGCTTTTATTTGCCTGGATCTAACCAAAGCTTTTGACTCATTATGGTGGCCATCTGTACTTGAAGCATTAAGAAAAGCAAATTGTCCAAAAAATATATTTAACTTACTTCAAGATTATCTATGTGAAAGAAAAAGTTTTATAATATACAACAATAAGATAATAGAATATGCCAACAAAGAGGTTGTCCACAAGGTTCCTGCCTTAGTGCTGACCTTTGGAACCTTACGTTTTAACTCAATAACATCTTTCAAATGGCCAACCCATACACAAAGTGTTGCTTTTGCTGACGACGCAGCTTTTGTGATCAGTGGTAGAACAAGAAATATTCTGGAAAATAATGTAAATGAAACTCTTCATCTTTTTAAAACTGAATGCAACAAATTGAAACTGACAATAAGTGAAGAAAAATCAAAAGCTATAATTTTCCATAAAAAATCTCAAAAAATCACTCGACTACCACCAAAATTTTCAATAGAAAATAATAGAATAAAAATAGTTCCAAAACTTAAATTTCTAGGCATAATCATTGACAAAAACCTCAACTGGATTGAACATCTCAAATATATCAGAACTAAAACACAAAAAAATAGCAAACAACTTACGTTATGTCCAAGGACTAAATTGGGGACTAAATCCTCATATTCAAAAATATTGTTCAATACAGTAATAACAAAAATAGTCTTATATGGTGCAGAAATTTGGGCGCAGCCTATGACTGTTCGGAAACAAAAACAACTGCAAGCCATACAACGTCCATTCCTTCTCCGGATCACAAAATGTTATAAAACAACATCAAATGCTGCCCTATGTGTACTTTCAGGAATAGCACCTCTTCATACTTTAGCACAAACTGAACATGCAAAAGCCACAGTTCTCAAATTAAAAAAATCCTGCATATTACATGATGAAATATTTAATCCAAACAATTTTGAAATTTCAGTCAATCCCTACAGAAGACATCCTGCCTCTAATCCTAAAATATATAGCACAGTAAAACCTCCAACCAATCATATATCTCCACCAATAATATATACAGATGGATCGAAAATGGACTTAGGAGTTGGCTGTGCATGTATAATACAAATTGATCAAACCCAGAAAATAACTCTCCAAAATCGTCTCTCAAGGAAAATAGTATCTTCCAAGCAGAATTACACGCAATTCGAATGGCAATAGAATACTCTAATCGATAACAATTTACAAAAAATCAATATTTTCTCGGATAGTCAATCAGCAATACTAGCTCTACAAAATCTCAAACACACATCTGAAATAATTCAAGATATTTTTAACAAAATTATCCAATATCCTCAAATATCACCAAACATTTATTGGATAAAGGCTCACGTCGGAGTTCTTGGTAACGAAGAAGCCGATTCAGCAGCCAAATCAGCTACTACCAACAATAATATCCCTTCAAGAAAAATCTCCTGGCCGAAATCATACCTCAAGAAATATCTACATAAAATCAGCCTCCAAATGTGGGAAGAAAGAATGGACAACAATAAATACAGGAAGACAATTACATCAAATCAAATAGCACCTCATGTAAATGATACATGTACAATGGTCAATGGTTATATAAACCGCTTTTTAACTGGACATGGGCCATTTCCCACATACTTCTTCAGATTCAACATCTCAAACTCTGAGCAATGTGTATGTGGAAATAAAGGTGATCCAATCCATTATATTACTCAATGTCCCTTAACAAAGTCAACTCATATTAAATTGCCTAATTCAAATATCAATGCCTTCCTTCGTTTTGCAATTACCAACAAACATTTAAAAAATAAAATAGAAAATACAATCAAATATCTATCTTCAATAGGCAAAAATTTATGTGAGCACTAATGTAATTAATGTCAAAATTCATTTTTGAAGCTGCAATTCATCTAAAACTTTTATTATCTAATTATCTTAAAAACAAACCCTTGCAATAATAATGATATAGTAAAAAAAGGGAAAAGAAGAGGAAGAAGATACAGATTCATATAATAAACTTTATCTCAAGGAACTATTATGAACTGTTATAAATTATGACTGTTAGCCTACTATTATTATACCTATTATAACTACTATAATTATATCTAATAGATATATCAATCAAAATATCGACATACTATTTATACTGTTATATTATGTTATATTATACTATGTGTTATATTATACTATGTGTTTTATTATACTATGTACTATTTTGAATATTACTTTAAAAATAAACCGAAGTGTAGTGGGACTATACCTACATTACTTATAGTAAACATTGGGTGTCCCACTACATTTCCACCTGAACCTGAACCTGTTTTTCCCCTTGTATAACGTGTATACGAGCCAGTTTTCTTTATAAAGGCAGTCCACAAAGGCAGTCTTTTTCTTAGCACTTTGCCGTTATTAACTAAACCAAAATAAACTTACGGAAGATTTAAAAGATAACCCACATTATATTATGTCATGACTTGATTCTTTTCTAAAGTCAGCCATTAATTAGAACTTTAACTCAAGAGCTTTGAAATCTGCCCAAAAGTAATATTTACACTCTTTGAACACTAATCGTAAAAATATTAATAACTACAAGCGACAAGCTTATTTCGGCATAGATTTTGAATAAATCTCTATAAATTTCGAAGGTGTAACAAAGGTGCAGCTTTCTCTTCTTCGGAAGCAGAAGAAATTCCACAGGAAAGTGGCAACGATGACTGTATTCATATTGAAAATAATGGGCGGAAGAAAGCGAACACGAATATCTTTCAAGGATAATAGTACAGAAATTTGAAATTAAAATATTAGAATTCTGAAAGCATTAATTCAGTTTAGAAAGGTTTATCGCATAACTGTAAAGCCCTCACTTTAAATACCAGTAAGTATAGAAATGTAGTAAATAGAAAAAATTTGTTTTCAAAAGTCATTCCATATTTTCTCTGAATAATCAAGTTCGGGATGTTAAAACTGTCGTCATCTTCCACAGGTGAGCCGTCTTGTGGTCTCAGAGATAATGCGGGCCACGATGATGTCAGCTCGCGTGACCATCATTGAGAAATGGGCCGCAGTGGCCGACATTTGCAGGTGCCTGCACAATTTCAATGGAGTGCTTCAAATCTGCGCCGCCTTCATGAACAGTTCTGTTTTCAGGCTAAAGAAGACGTGGGAAAAGGTTTCAAAAACAGTAAGCAAACCCATATCTTTGTCATTACTCTCACTCAAGGGATAGCCTAGATTATAAGGTTTACTTTTCGTACAATGATTGTTAATTAAATTATCGTGTTTAGGCTGCGACTTCAGTTCCACGAGGTATAGATTAAGCCTGCGATGAATTATCATATTATAAATATTTTAAACTCGAGTCTGCTTTTGTGTACTACCCATTTCGAATATAAGCATTGTAACTATCGTTCAGATTAAAGTATAATGGTTAAACGTATTTAGTTAAATGGTTTCTCTTGAAATGCAGAAAAATTACATAACCAAAACGTTTTTTCATTTAATTTATATAAATATTTTCAAAAATTATATCAAAAAAGAGAAATTATCTAAATTCCATTTAAAGAATCAAAGCACTTTCAGTAGTTAGATGCAACCAATAGTTTTATTTCTTTGTGCAGTCAAAAGTCGTTAATTCGGAATGATCTATAATCCGAACCTCAAAGCTACAAACTTTCTGCGCATGCGTCGCGTTGACGCATGCGCGTAAGACCTTTACGGCTGCGAATATGCGTGTGCGCAAAATACGTTTACGAATGCGCGTTTAATGTATAACGGACGGTATAAGCTAAGCTAAAATTATATAATTCAGTTAATGTTGCAGATTGCGTTGTTCCTTAATCTTCGAATTGGATTCGGCTTTTTGCAGACTGTTAGAGCAATTTTATAAAAGTAAGCTTGAACTTTCGATTATGTCAAATAGAATTTCTGATATATATTTACTAATATGTAAAGGATCTACAAAGCGAAAGTATGTTTCGAAGTCCATTAAAAAAAAGTGGAATTGCTGCAAAAAATGAATAAAGGCATATCCTTTGTTTATCTAAACTTTGTTTATCTTTAACGCCGCGGAGCGCAATGAATTGGAAGTTGATCTGTCAGCACTATCCTTATCTTCAGGGCAGATGTTTTTATTTTATTTGGCTTATAATTCCTAACTAAATGTAGTATTTCATCTCGATGTACTCCGTCTTTGATATGATTTAAATCAAATTCTCGTCATTATAATTCGCTTCCGATAGCGAAGAAAGTGACAGAGGTTATTGAAAACGAAAAAATTTCGATTGACAAATTAGTCGGTATTCTCGACACAGCAATTGACTTGAACAGCGGAACTGAACAAGAAATTATGTCTGTTTATAGAATTAAAGAGAATGTATTATCACATAAAAACGAAGCAACTTAAACAACTTACATTGAAAGAAACGTTTAATAAAGTAAACAAATAAATATTAAACTTTTTTTTGTAAATTTTGATACCCTTTAGATCATAATTGTTCTTTATTTCATAAATTACGGTTTCATATTTTTAATTTTATAATTTCTGCATGCCATCTTACCAGATTTAAACTGATGATCTATAATCCGGAATCGCCGAAGTCCCGACGAGTCCGGATTAACGACTTTTGACTATATAGTATTGAAATCTTTCATTATTGAGACAACATTGATCGATTATAAATGTCATACATATATTTTATCTGCCATGCGATTTTTATTGGTGTACCTAGAGGATTGCTCATTTACATTTATAGAAAAAACAGACAGTTTTTATTATAATGATAATATTAAAAATTGTTAAACACGTCGAAATGATACAACATGCTAGAGGACTAAGAAATGAACGATGTTTTTGTGTTATTTTAATAAGATGCGATGTTTGCATCAAGCTAGATCTCAAAACTGTATTCGTTCCATGTCTGCAACAATCCTTTTACCGTAAATGCTGGAGATAACGTACCTTTTACCTATATTCAATACTTACACGCTATAACGCTTATTACAACATCATCTGTCCACTGGTGTAAGACATCTAAAACTACTCTGCAAGACTGGACGAGGTCGTAGCTTCCCAGCAAAACACAACTGGGTTGGTTCGACATAATATCGCATGACGGTTGGAGTAATGTTCATCTTTACCCTAATCAGGAAACTAATGCTAGTTTTACCGCTTAATGACAGCAGAACTTTCTTATTCTGTATTTTCTGGAGAAACATTCATTGCATTTTGCTTAGATGCTGCATTCGGTTCATTGATAATCTACTTTCTGTGATGCGATAAATCAAAGAAGTTTCTTTCTTACGTTACAGGTTAATGATAAGGCTCTTACGGAAACAATTCTTTCATTATTAATTCATCGTCTCAGCTGATTATTGCGACTACATATAATAAATATGTCATATAACCTTCGAAATAAAACAATGAACGTTTAAGAAATGCATTTAAATTGCATTTTTAAAAGAAATTTCGGTATTTTACGTCCATGCAGTGTTTCAATGTTTTCAATGAAGATACACACAGGTAGCCAATAAATGTTTTGAAACTGTTTTCTAATTTCATACTAACAAAAGTAACTTAATGAAACTAATATATTTACATTGTATAGTAAGACTTACTAATTATGATTAGGCTCACGAACTATACTAAATATATGTTTACGTTATTTTCAAAAAAATATACGAACGTCTCCATGCGAAACTTTGACAGGAAGTTACCAAGTTAGAAATTAGAAATATGACGCGAGCCGAAGTACTTTAAAGTTTATTTATATGAAGATATAAAACATGAGTATATCTTAATAAGTTTATTTAATATAAACCTTCATCATAAAATCTGCAAAATTATAAAATAGGATAACGTTCTTATATAATAAGAAAGTGCTTTTAATGGGACGATTTCGACTTCATGGTTGACACAAGATGGTCAATATTCGGGAATAAATCCCGTATAGCTTTATTCTCTTGGCAGTATCAGTGATCTCTGTGCTCTCATCAAAAGCAGTAGGAAATGCTTCAAATTTTGATGTGATATATTTAATTTTATGTCTCTGTCCAATTCATCGATTCGTCAGGCTACTCTCCAATGACGAAAACGTATCTTTTCAATTTTCTCAGGGCACAATACGCTCATGACAACAGTGAGGTATTCCTTGACAATTTCGCATTCGGAGTATGTTTTGAAAGCTTCGCTATTTTTCCCTAACAATAAAGTTTGCACGAAAAATATTGTTAGCTACATCATTATGCTGGCGGAACAGCATCCTGTTGTACAGATATACTCTTTTCAATATCTTTTTTCTTATCTATTCTCACTTGAGCTTTGTAAAGTGTTGTAATTAGCGTGTTTCGCATTGTCATGCCTTTTTAAATTGTATTCCTACAAAACTAAAATAGTTTCCAAATATATCCTTCCGCATTACAAACAAATAATGGCTAATCTTTGGAATATGGTAACAGGTAGTTTGGAGACATTTTGGTAAGGCGATAAAGGTTACTAGCTAGGACTTTATCAGTGTACATGGATAAAGTCAAGAGTGTGCGCAATGCCATTTTTGTGCAATTCTGGGATGTTTTTTTAAGTGAAAATAGATCGACGTGTACATGGATACCGCGTATGTGCAATTCTTAAAAATGCGGCAAGCAGTGGGCGATTCTGCACTTTCTCCCAATTTCGCACCTAATCTTCGTCATGATTAAGCACTTTTCCGTAAAAGTTCTAGCATAAGCGTAATTCGGCTAGCAGATTGTTGGAAAAAAATTTTGAGTAAAAAAAAAAAAAAAAAAAAAAATCCCTTTACTTCGTGAAAACAAAATGGCGTCCAAAAAAAACTAGCAGGTTGCTGTAGCAGGGTTGGTCGCCAAATTTTCGCCAAAAAAACACCAAGTTACCATAATCCGAAGATTAACCCAAATAATCGTCAGTCAACTTCTCTTGAAATATTAGACTCTCATCTCAATAACATCTCAACATCTAACAGCCTCTTCTTTGACTGAGCCATCTTAATTAGTTTATAATCGCAAATTCACGAATATATAAAAATGAAATGTAGGTTGATATAGCTTGAAAACTGGAGACTATACACAGCAGGACACGTAATCAGGCAGCAGAAAACACAGACGAGCAACAAAGACAGGACTACCAAATGACGGCAGTTTAGGTGAAGTTTTTAAGAAAACAAAAAAGATAAAAAGTATAAAAAGTTTTAAAATGATTAAAAAATATGAGGATAAAAATTTTTACGAATTTATTCATCACAATTACGTGTGTTTATTGTTCAAATTTAGGCCAGACTTCCAAAACGTCGTCACAGGTAATACAAATTCAGGTCGAGGACCAGATTCGGCCCGCCAGCCGTATGTTACACATGCCTATCTAAAAGTATCAGCATGTCGTATACGAAGCACATTTTTCTAATAGATGCATATGAATTCTTATAACCTAATTCTATACTCTAAAGTATTTAAGTTTTCATTTAGTATTATCATTATCACTAGTACTAAATATTTAAACTCTCCCTTTTTACTTTTTTAAAATTTGCTAAAATATTTTTAGCATTTTTTTCTGCTTTACAAGCTTTTACTGATTTTTAATTTAAGAATTTAAAAATTTTGCTTTCGTTTCTTTAAAAATGATAAGATTAAAATTTTCATTGAAACTATTAAGATATTTTTAATATTTAAGTATGCATTTTCTGCTCCAACATTTTATAACCTTTCTTTGTAACGCAGACAAAACAAAGCATTGACAAGCTACAGGCCCTTGTATCTGCTGACGGAAGATTCAGAAATATGCGAGATGCGCTTCACAGGTATGTGTTTTTATTTCTACAGTGCATTAAATTCAATATCAGGAAAAATAAAGATTGTACATTTGATGTGCTAAACATTAAAGAGTAAATTACATACATAAATTTGTCCATTTTCGTTGTTAAATAATTCCTTAAACATTTTGTTGTTGTGCATTAATTCAAATTTTAATAGTATATACTTAATTTTATAACATCCACTTTACGTAGCGTAATGCCGATTTACCAGTAGATAGTACTAGTACCAGTTTACGATTTACGTAAGTCTAATGCCTAAATAGAAGTCTAATGCCGATTTATGAAATTCTTTTGACTATATTTTAAAAAATAATCAATAAACAAAAAATCCAGATAAGTGAGTTTTCACGTTTTAATACATTTTGCTTTTATACACTGACTACCAATAAGTATTTGGACACCTATGCAAATGACGATATCTGCGGTCCCAAGGTACGTCACGGACTCCGCCGATATATATCGTGTAGGAAACAGCATCGGCTTTAGTCGCATGCAAGATGCCTCGCAGTTCCGAGCTCTCTGATTTCGAGAAAGGTATAATTATGGGGTATCACAAATGTGGCCGATTCTTAAGGGACAAATCTAGCGATCTGAAGTACCCAAAATCAACAGTGGCCTATGTGATTAAGAAGTGTAAGGTGAGCGGTGATTGTCGGAATGTGCCCCGAGTCGGAAGACCAACGAAACTGGGAGATTGAGACCGAAGAGTGCTGTCCAGAGAAATTTGGAAGAACCGCACCCAACCGATGGCCCTCATCCGCGAGGAGTTTCAACAGGCATCCGGGAGTATTGTTTCAATGAATACCATCCGTAAGGAAGCACATCTTCTTGGTTTTCATGCCCATAAGCCTTTGATCACAAAGTCCAACCGCGCTGCTCTGTTAATGTGGTGCAAAGCACATCGAAATTGGACCGTAGATCAGTGGAAACACGGGTTCTTTGGAGTGACGAATCACCCTTTACCGTTCGGATGGCAGGGTCTGGGTCTGACATCTACCTGGAGAACGTCTCCTGCCAGAATGCATTGTGCCAACAGTCAAGTTCGGCGGAGGTGGAATTATGGTCTGGGGGTGTTTCTCCTGGTACGGGCTGGGACCCTTGGTCCCCATTCATGGTAATCTCAACTCCGATGCCTACTGCACTATTTTGGATGACAATGTGCTTCCTACGTTGTGCCAGTTTTACGGGTTGGACTCCTGTTACTTTCAGGACGACAATCCGGTTGTCATGTTTCGACGTTAACCGAGCCTTGGTATGGTGCCAATGGAGTTCATCGAATGGACTGGCCTGCCCAGAGTCCAGACCTGAACCCTATCGAGAACCTCTGGGACGAGTTGCATCGCCGAATTCAGGCGTGCACTACCCGTGCAAAATCGGTGAAGAAACTTCTGTCTTCTACAAGCCGAGTGGAAGAAAATACCACTAACTGTCATACAAAGACTTGTGGAAAGTATGCCTCTGAGGGTTCACGCTGTAAATACCTCTCGTGGAGGCTCTACCAACTATTGATTTTGAATAAAGTTAGTTTTTCTTTTCTATCACAGGTGTCCAAATACTTATTGGGAGTCAGTGCGTATATACTGCATTTTTGCTTGAATACAATTTAAGTCTATAAAATATTACACACTGGATTATGCTAAAAGAGATTTTTAAAAATATTAATTAATGTAACACAATTATAATTATTGTTCCTTTTATTTATTTTTCTTTTATTTACTTCAAGTTTTGCAGTTTTCTGTGCAGTATTTCGTTCAGTGGTAAATGTTTCAAACGGCACTCAAAATCTGTCTTGATAATTTCACTATACATATTAGATATATTCCCTATCAAGTTTCTACAAATTTTTAATACATAATATCCCAAAATCACATAACTAATTTTAAATTATTATAACTTTTTACGTCAAATGTATATCAGCTGTCCATTTCTGCTAGTTCTAAGGAATACCCAAAATTTTAGACAGAAGCCTAGTGTAGCCATTCTGCTAGGAAAATGCAGATTTTGAAATGGTTCAGGAAAACAAATTTGAAAACTTAGAAGGATTACAAACTTTAATTGATTTAAATTCCTATCACGTTTTATTATTATTTAGAGAGGTTTGATGCAGTCTTGTTAAAGAAAGTAAAGATGGAAAACTATAGATACAATTCAAAAAGTTAATAGCACTAACATTCTGAAACATATATACATAGATTGATTAAAATGTTTTGAGACTGAACATGAGCCCTGGACCTTTTTCATTTTCAAATATGAATTACGCTTCTAACATACATTTGAATAACGCTTTACAAGCGAATCAAACATGAAAAAGACTGTTCTTTGACATAGTCGTTAGACCTGTGACCGAGGTGTTTTCCACTTCGTAATTGGATGAGAACCACTTCCCGTGTAATTGCATTTTCAATGTTTAAAACACCCAGAAATCATAAAAGCTGGGATATATGCAGGGTATTGTGGGGTTTGAAATTGCTTTTAGGCACCGCTGTCACAATAACAACATGTAGCCCTGCCACAATAACAAGAAGACCTGCACACTAGACCGATTTTCTTGAACAAATGTGATCTTTTCTTCCTCAAGACAGCATGCAAATGGTTTCAATATGTTTAGTTAATAGCTCACTGTTTTGCACATAACCGCAATGGATATCTAGCCAGAACGTGCTTTGTCGATCATTCACCTGTTTTGGTTTGTTGGGAATTCTAACATTCTCAGGTTATATTAAGTTATTCTCAAATTATATTCAAATATTTCAGGTATTTCCGATTTACAGTTTAACTTCAATAGGTGGAAAGTTTTAGCAAGTTTTGAATTGCATATCAAAGTGTGAACCTCAAGATTAATGTTAACTTTTCTCTATCGGATTTTTTATTATTGAGCTTCCTTCTATCTACGTTTATCGAAGTTTCACTGCATTTTTCAACACATTGCATTCAAGTGTGATAACCTATAAAAACAAACGACTTTCAGCTATTTAACTGCTGTTAAATGAAACTGTTACAAATATCTAATTTTCTATCAAAACAAATTGTTAAACAAGAATATTAGCAAGTTCATAGTGCAAACAAAATTATTTAGGTTGTGAAGTTATTAGGTTAATTGGAAGCAGAAAAGATGAAAAATATGCAACCGCCTTCGCCGGGAATCGAACGACGGACCTCTGGAATACTGGCTCAGTGTGCAGAACCACTACACCACGAAGGCTTGCAAGGGAAGTGGGAGAAATACCTTATAAGGTATCACTTGATTTTAATTCCAGAATTTAAATTCTATAGAAGGAAAGTAAATTAGTAAATTGAGTGTTAGAATAAAAGTGAATGAAAAATAATTTGATGTAGACACCACATGACTATTAAATAATATACATATTTTTCTACACTTTATTTAAACTTAAATACTCCGGTTAATTAAACCGCGACATAAAACCCGCCTACACTTAAATACCCCGGTCAGTTTTATGGTACGGGAGTCTAATTTCTTCAATTATTTTTTCGTAAGGAGTATAAAACTTTCTCAAATATAAGTATAGGAAACGGTATAAGTTAAATTTATTGTCCAAAATTATTTCTTGTAAGATAACACTGCCAATTTTATCATGTAAGCACTTATGAATTTTTGCTGCACTTAATTTAAACTTGTTTTCTGAAATTATTTTAACTTAAATAACCAATCCGTCTAGGCAAGCTCAACATGAGATCAAAAACCTCAAATTTTGAAATTAAATATCCTGGTTAATTTCGTCATTTAAAATACTTCTGTTAATCAAAATCGTAAAAAACAACCTTATATTTAGCGTAGGTATAATGAAACACTCAATCGATTTCGAGGGCAGCTAAAGGTCCCTCCTCATCAGGAGAAAGAAATACAAAGAAAGAAGAAAATAGGAATCACAGAAACACGTGGTGCTTATCAGCACTGCACGTGGTTATAACTAGATTTTTAATCAGAGTTGCACTGGCCGCCTACTTTTACTGAGCCAGGCTGTCTGATCAAGCATAAAGAAATATTAGCGAAGTTAAAATAGGGAGCGAGGGGCAAATGCACATTACGCTCAAAATCTGACCTTCAAATAATGGAAAGCAACCACTGAACGGATTTTTATACCCTCTGGTAGTACCAAGTGCGAGGAGGTAACGCCATCTATCGGCAAAAATAATTGAATTAAGACAGTAGAATTTCAAAGGCATTAGGAAGGACTGGATTGGACTTCAAATCATTAACTAAACTTTCTAAATCTTTGTGAATGTCAAAAGCCTCAAGAAAATCCAATTCACCTATGGAAGAAGCCTTTTGGATGATTTTTGCAGACCCAAAATCAAAATTATGGTTAAACGTCCAGCTATGATACGCTATTGAAGACTTGTTAATTTCCCCTTTTTTGACATAAGATTCATGTTCCTTGATACGAAACTTCAACGCTCTTTTTGTTTGGCCAATATATCTTAAACCACACTGACATGATATACTATAAATTCCCCAAGAATTCAAGACAGAAACGCAATCTTTTAGAATCGAAGGGTGAATTTTATTAATAGGGGAGAAACCGACTTGAAAATTGAATTTCTGGAGAATCCGTGCAATTTTATAGCTAACAGAAGGTTAAAATGGAAGCACGACAAGGTCATTGATATTATTTCTAACAGTGGAATGTCTTCTTTGATGGGAATCTGAAAATTTTTTTTTTTTTTTTTTGACGGCTTTATCAATAATCACGGGAGAAAATCCACGGTCAATCGCAACTGCTCTCAAATAATTAAGTTCATTGGTAAGCAAAGATTCAGAGGAACAAACTTTTAGCGCGCGGAAAACATAATAGTAAAAAGAAGCCATTTTTTGCTTAACAGGGTGGCATGACTTGGCATGGGGTGGTAAACAAACTGCAAAGGGTTTACGGTACACAGTGGTGCTAAAATCGGTTTCATTGCGGATTATAAGAATATCGAGGAAGGGGAGGGAATTGTTGGATTCAATTTCAAGAGTGAATTGG